TTAGAGTAACTTTCTACTTTAAATAATAAAGATAAATAGACTAAGAAACTTAGTTTATTTAATATTTATATAAATCTATATTTATCAGAATTTACTGCTAAATATATAATAATAATAAACTATAATATATTTAGAGAGAAATTAAAATATAGATAAATTAGTAATAATATACTAAAAATTAAACTATATTAATTTTAATTTTAGACTAGACTTGTTAGGCCCAGCCCAAGAAACCCGGCCCAACCCGGCCCAACCCGCCAAGAAATGGGCTGGGTTTGTGTATACAAAAGTCCATGCCGGGCCGGGTTATTGGCTACCCCGGCCCACGGGCCGACGGTTTAACCCATGGGTCATATACAGCAAGCCAGTGCAGCCAACTATGCAAATTGTGGAGATATATCAGACCATATCTAATTTTTAATACTAAAGTAGTTTAGTGCGAATACAGATATTAAGGCAGAAGCTACTAAAGATATAAGTAAATAAAATTCTAACTAAGTTAGAATATATAACTCTAAAGGAAAAACACTAAGTCTGATTAAAAGTCTAATGTTAGGTATTATATATCTGATAACCGGCAAGAGCACGATAATTTACAGCCTGAGCTCCATATCTTGACTGCCGCCGATAGCCTAAAGTCTCTGGTCCCTGTATATCATCTTCACTATTATCTTTATGGAACTGTGCATGCTTCTCCTCTATTAGTATTGAAGGCTAAATATCAGGTATTTCAGGGGTATCTTCATCTTTAATATAATTCTTGTCCAGTAGATTGAATAGATTCTCCTCAGGATTCCCAGAATCATCACTATCACTGATATATTCAAAGTGATCCTTATCACCCGGTTGTTTAAGGTAGTTATAGATATCTGATATATTATCACTCTCTTTCTTCTCAATTTGGCAGTCTTTTCTTAACTGAAAGCGATCTGCTATAAGAAGTATTATAAGTCCATGAATAGTTTTTGGATCAAGGCGGCTTCGGCGATAGTAACAGATATCATGACTGGTATTAAAAAGAGATTTAACACCAACTCCTGACACTGCAACTGATAAGAAGTTGCGGGCCATAATTGAGAGTATTGGAAACTGTTACTGGTTTAAATATCAATACTCTAAAATATCTTGAGAGACAGTGTCTATTCTAACTTAGTTAGAATTTAATATAGCAGTGAACTAAGAATATATCCTTATTTAAGTAGGTCTTAACTTCAGTAAATGAACTATCTTAGCAGGTTATGGTAATTCTTCTTTTCTTGATAAAATGCTGGCAGACTTGATTGAATTGTGATATCTGATATAATAGAGCTATATTAACAGTAATATAAGAATGTCTCTCCTTATAAAACTGGAAGATATTAATAAATTATTTCTGATAATAAGCTTCCCAGTTTATTCCTTCTCCCTTCCAAGAAGTAGTGATGAAATATTTGAGCTTAGAAGATAGATCTAAAATTGTTACAACAGCAAAGACATTACCTTGGGCATTATAAGTCCGGCTATAATAAGCACTTAACTTATAATAAGCAGTCTTAAGCCCCTGCTAAATCTGCTGTTTCCAAGTAAGTCATTTCCGCTTTAATGTCTCAATAGAGAGCTCCAGATGGGTAAAAAGGATATCATAAACAGTAAAAACACTCTGAGCTAACAGGCCGTGCTGGCAGGATAGAGCTAATGTCAAAAGATAAAATAGTACAAGAAGTTCACAAAGATATTCAAGCTGGCACTATTGCTGGGCAGTAAGAGTAAAATAGCGGACTGATGTACTTGACATATCATGTATAAAAGCATCCATAGTATTCCGGAGATGTAGAACATGGCGAATCATTAAAAAGGTTGAATTCCAACGCGTGCAATAGTCAAGGAGTAAAAGAATTAGCGCAGTAGTTGTATTAATACTAGCCTGAATCTTTTGGAATGTCTCTTGTCATTGTGGGCTAGCATTGATATACTGTACGGTTTTGCGGACCTTAATCTAACTTAGTTAAATTATAGCAAACACAGAATGTAAGGACATACCTTCTCAAGAGTAGAGGGTAAACCTTTACTATTAATATACTGAGTCTCTGAATCATTCTATGAGAGCTGGGTATCGTCATTCTTCGCGTTTATCTTGATCTTTTTCAGAAGACTTTGCACAGAAAGTTGTATTACATGCGCTAGGCATGGAATATGTGTTGGTATTGAGAGTAGGGAATGAATCTCCTGGTCGAAAACAGAAGAGCTAAATAACCAGGAATCCTGAATACCTTGGTGGAGAATGCGGGATAGCTCAGCCATAAGGGTTGAGTTATTACTAGCATTATCAGTAGTAACTGCAAGGACTTGACAGTCAATTAAGCTTCTGTAAAGTACTTGAGTAACTATATCAGCAAGATAAGAACCTTAATGAGTGCCTGTAATATACTCAAATCCAAGTAATATCTCCTTGTACTTAAAGTCCGGGATAATAAAGTAGCCAGTAATAGCAAGGAATGTCTTTTGCAAGAGACTTGTCTAACAATCCAAAGCTAAGGAGATTTTAGAGTCTTTCGGGATTAAAGACACTATCTCAGAGTAATGAATAGCACTTATTTCTAATATACAGTCTTGTACTCTCTGGTAACTAGGAAGAGAAATAGTTATATATCAAGCGGCTTTCTGCATCATTTGTTTGAATTGGATATAGCCAATAATATTAAACAGTAATCGGCAGCTGACAATAAATATGCCAATCTGATCATAAAGAGCTTTAGCAGAAAAGTCTATAGTATTCTAGCCAGCTTAGCAAAATCTAACTAAGTTAGAATTAATCATACCTTAAACAGAATATTCTTTATAGTAGGCTGGGTTGGTGTCTATAATACACGAGCTACACATTTCGCACGCTCCAGATAATATTTAAGGGTACTTGTACCAGTTTGCTTGATTGCTGGATACTTAAGCACAGTGCTACAATACTGACATCATACTTTTGGATCCCCTTAGGAGAAAAGTGCAATGTCTTCAAAGCTTTTCCAAACTTCTGATATCTGACTAGTTGCTGCCCATCTAAACTTGTGCTGTCTAGCCCCAAGCTCGTGTCCACGCTTGGTATTTGACCACCAGTCATAGAATTCTGGAATATCAACAAAGACAATAAGACGCTTGCCGCCCTTATTCATTAATACCTGAAGGCCAGAAGGGGTACTATTGTTCGAGGAAGAATGTGACAGGGTGGAGAAAAAATCACTTATTGGCTGTGAATGCGGTGCTAGAGGGGATGATATTGGAGGATCAGATAGGAGCACAGATAATGAATTGTCAAGTTATGACATGATTTTGAATTAATATAACTTAGTTAGATTCTTATAAAAGATAATCGTAGAACTTATTATAACTACTTTTTTATGATCTTTATAGATAGCTGGTATATACACTATATCATAGGGAGTAAGCCCCTTACTAGAGGGTTTTGTGATTCGCGACATTTTAAGGAATAAGTATGAAGGGCTACTAACACAGTGTATACAGGGCTAGCTCCTTACAAAATATGTATATTCATTATTTAAGTAACTCTGTTCATAAAAATTCATAATTATAATTATAATTCTATCAAAAAGTCTGTAGCAAAGCAGTCAGCGCAAGACAGAATTATATATATGGAATAAGATATACACATATATTATATATTATAAATAGTATTCTGAGCATATGATAGAAACAAGGCGTATATAAAGAGAATTAATATTAATATATACTTGATATAAACCACGTACAGTGTGCTAATATACTACTTGATACTAAGTATCAGTGAGGTATCTATATCAGATATATATAATATATATAATCGGCAGATGAAGCCACAAAGTCACGAAGTACACTAAACCAATATCTATATATTACAGAAATCTAACTTCGTTAGATTTTTCTTATTAGCAGTTCCCAAACCTTTTTATTCCTGGCCTTGATCAGATTAGATATTTATTTAGATATTTATTATTTGGTCATGTTCTTGCTTTACTAAATCACCATAATAGAAACTCCTAAGTCACGTGACTCATTAGTCCTTGGATGATGATTGGTTTATAATTTACCTATATCTCTTTCAACAACGTTGTGAATTGAGAACAATAGAAAATCTACCCAATCATAATATCATAATGATCCTATTCAGTCCTAAAATAGATATACAATAGCCAGTGCCTGATACTCTATTAATAGATAGCTCAGGTCTTCTATTGCTAGTTTCTCACTATTGTTCCTACATACCCCTCCTACCTGAGTATATTCCAACTTCGCGTATTCTCACTGTACACAGATCAAGTTAGATTTTTTTTGATTCCTTTTGTTAAACTAACTTGGTCAGATTCTTTGGATTCATCTTCTTTACCTCATACAGCTCTCTGACTTTGGTGCGTATCCCTTCAAAGGGTCTAGGTTTTTATCCCTTGAACCCTTGGCGATCTGCATTCCCAAAAACTAACTTGGTTAGATTCTGCGTTATAACAGGTGGGACTGGCGCGGCCGCCCCTCACAACGCCAGGGCTGGACCCAAGGGCAAGGGGAAGCGCAAGAAGGGAGTCAATGAGGATCAATCTGATCCAGATATATCCTAGAACCCTGTTGAAGAGTCTTACGTCAAACTCGATGACCCGTTCCCTGCTATTTGGGCTGGAGCATTGGCTGGAATACTGGTTATGGATATTCACCTTCTGAATCCAGACTGGAATGATAAAATTGTCAACCGAGAAATTAATCGCGAGCATGTAACTAAATTGGTTGAGAGCTTTAAAGCTGGAATTCATCGCTTTGACAAGTCGAACTTCATGTGTGCAACTATTTCTAAGCAGGGATAGCAGGACCTATTACAGGCTCTTAGCGCTAGAATACTGGCTGGGAGTATTCCAGTTCCTTTATCTTTCATATCACTGATATCTCCTACTCCCCCTTCTCCTGAAGCTATTGATTGCCTTACGAAAGAAAAGGCATTGGTAACGACTAATGTCTCACCTGCGCCTTGTGTTATTGTGCCCAATAATACTATCCCCTCCAAGTTACGCTTAGAAGCTGGACAACATAGGCGTGCTGCTCTCTTGGCAGTTAATACGGAACAGCTACGTGTTTCTAAGACTCCTGAGGGCTCTAAGCATGTTCAGCCCCCTACTGATGAGGTATTTACATTCTAACTAAGTTGGAATTCTACTAACTCTCCCTTAGGATTACTTATGGCCAGTGCTGATTTACAAGCAAGAGTCTCTTGACAATGAAGCCCTGCTCACTCTACATGCCAACAGAGACACAGTGTCAAAAACAGATAGTACTGGAGATCTACTTGTCCAGATCAAATATATTTATAACAAGAAACCTTTGGTGGAGCAAAAACACCTGGAGAAACCGCGTTTTCTTGTACCATGGGTCCTGCAAGCATTTGGTCATTATCTCCAGTATCCAGCACGGTTTCTCAATATCCTTCGAAGCCCTCTGTGCAATACAATGGTTTCCTACACGCGGACCCGGTATAGCGCTAAACATTTTACAATCACTTGGGATACAACTGTTGTTCTGGGCAGGTTTGGATTTATAAGTGCTTAACATATTTATGTCTTTATATTACTTTCTCAAGATCTAACTTGGTTAGATTTGGCATGAGCTCCTCACCGATTTCGGTAACCAGATTATGTCAACTTTTGGAAACTTTGCTCACAACATACCTTGCTATGATTTAAGTCTTATCATAGATATTAAAGACCGTTTCTCAGATACTCTGGCACGTCTTTTTTTCCTAACCTCTAATAACTACAAGTCAGGTCATCTTAAATTAAAACCATACACTCTTCCATATTCATTTGTAACTGGAGATCCTGAGTTTCCAGCTCTTGATCTCCCTTATAGCAAATTTTTAACATGCCGCTCTGAGTTCTTGACCTGTCTTGATTGTAACTCTTATATTAAGGCTTACAAAATCCTTCTTTCTAGTAAAAGTACACAATTTGATTCTTAGAAGTATTGGGAATTCCTTGCCAGCACTGTTATGCCTGTTACTGCTGCAATTTTGAAGCATATTTTGGTATGGTATAACCAGACATGGATATTTCCTGAAAAAGCTCAAGATATTCACAAGGGTTTCTGCTGGAATAAGGAATTTAAAAGAACAGTGCTCCGCGGTAATCATCTGATTAAAGATAGCAAATATGGTTATAAGAATGATACTAATCTCCTTCAGTTTACTCAGGAAATGATTCGCAAGATCTGGGACCGTGTTAATTCTGACCCTATTTGGAAAGACAACTTGGTTAGAAAAGAGGTGAGTTAAATTCTATCTTAGTTAGATTTAACTAATATAATAGGTCATGGAAAACCCTATCCTTACTATAGGTTCTAATGGTACTAACTTTGAAGCCTATACAGAATACTTTCTCTATATCTATTGGGCAGATCTATTAAGGGAATGCTTGAAGGTCTCCGGACCTGCGCTCTCTGGGCAGATAGTAAAATATAATAACCCTGATATCCTAGTATATTAAAATCCGGCTATATTAGATTTTCAGTTACTAATAATCCTTAGAGTGACTTATTCTAATCTCTAAATACCTTTGGCTATCTGGTCGCTTGAATTAACTGGAAAGATAACCTTGATATTTAACAGTTCCCTGTCCTAAAGGAATCATGGACCCGCGAAATTTTTATAAATAAGGTCAGTATTCTCATAGTAATAGTTTATTACTGGCAGATCAAATCCGCTATAGTTCGAACTTTGGTGGCTGGTTTTCTAAACCTGAAAACCCGGAGAGGGCGGAAAGCAGCCAAAGACCAGGGCCTGGTTAAAAACTATATAAATAAGAAATCTAACTAAGTTAGATTCTTTACTAATCTATCAGGATAAATACATTCGCTATAAGGACAAGCTTACTGAGTACGCTGACTACTTGATAAAGAACAGCTGGAAGCCTAAGCTCAATAATACTAATGAACTGCCTGGCGCACATTCCGTGCTACTTAAAGAGATACATGATCCTCTTAGTGCTCCTTCTAATTAACCAGGTTTTATAGAGTATGTACCTTGCCAACCTGGACAGAAACCCTCTGCTAAGATGAGCACCTTTCTTTCTGGCATTGTATTGGATATTCCCAAAGGATCTGAACCCGAGGTAGACAGGGAAAAGAAAGAGGAAGATAATGAGGATACAGAGACCACATCCAGTAACTTAGCCAGTATTTCAGATAATAATAGTAGTAGCCAATTTGAATCTCCGCCCGCTGAAATGCCAGTGGCAGGCCGTGGCCGTGGACATGGAGGACATGGTAATGCTCGAGGTGGTACAAATGATAAGGGAGTTCAGTAAGGTCAAAGTGAATATTATAGAAGAGATTAAAATAGAAACATTAATAATATAACTGTATCTATACACCCCTCTAAGAGAATTAGGCTTAAGATTAATATGCCTACTTAGAATAGTCTGGAAAACTAACTTAGTTAGATTTAATTTATAAGATAGCTAATACAGGATATATCAAATCTAAGAAATACTATATTAATAAAATATTATTTATCTTATAAAAGCCTAAGAATATTAAAAGATATTTAATCTTACCAGATATAGTTAGCAACTTACTTTATATAGTTAGTCATTATTCTTGGCGGGTTTTCATGGTTTTTTTGGGCTAAAATTTTTTATTTTGAATGACCCTTGGGTGGTTTTCAGATTTCTGACCCGGACCGTAACCCACCCGGGTCGGGTTGTACTATACTCGAAACCCGGCCCAACCCGCGGGCCTAACAAGTCTATTTTAGACTTTTTAAATAATAAATAAATAATACTTTATTTTCTAATTTAATAATATATTTATTTTATATAGATTATATATACTAATTACTTTAATTAGATTTCTATAGAATATAGAATATTTAATTAATTTAATAGTTAAAGTTAAATATTCTGAAACTTATTAATAGCTTTATAGTAAGCTATAAATTTAATAAAGAAAAATTATTTTAATTATATCTTTATAATTCTATTAATTAATATAATATATCTCTTTTAAGCTTTACTAATCTTTAATATAAAGAGACTTTTAATAAAAAGAATATCTTTATAAAAAGACTATTTATAG